CATGAAATTTTGACCCGTTCACGTCCTACTGCTCTTGCGGATTTACCGGGCATGTGTATCCGGCACATTTCGTCATTCTACTGTCAGTGCAGGTGGAATATTGAATAGGGTTCAAAATTTAACCATCTAGCATTAGTCCATCTATGGGCAACATATGCGCGATTACCTTCTAACCAACATAAGGGTGCATGGTTAAAATTGCAAGAAACGCAAAATTTCTAAGACCCATATGGTTCAGGGTTAGATTTTTCACCTTGTACTACATATCAGTTTATAGGTAGATACTGTGCGATTTTCTTATAACGAAAGCTATTGTACAGGGTGAAAATTATGAAAATTCGTAAAACCCGCCAACCGAAATTCAGACACAACGCCACACGTATGTAATCAACCACTCCCACTGAACACTGGACTAATTCAGGTTCAATTTCGAATTTTATTTTAATCATGAAATTTCGACCCCTGTACGTCCTACTGCTCTTGCACATATACCGGGCATGTGCATTCGGAACATTTCGGCAATCTACTGTCTGTCCGTGTCGAACATTGCAGAGGGTTGAAAATTAAACTCTCTACAACTAGCCCATATATAGGCAACAAACGCGCGATTACACTGTAACCAACATAATGGTGCATGGCTAAAATTGCAAGTGCTGCAAAATTTTCATCGCCCATATGGTACAGGGTTAGGGTTTACACCATATCAGGTTATAGGTGGAAAGAGCTCGATTTCATTATAATCAAAACTATGCTACAGGCGTAAAACTTTGCAAATTTGTACAAACACGACAGCCTAAATTGTGACAACGCCACACGTATGTACTGAACCCGTCTCATCTAACACTGGATTAATTGAGGTTTTACTTTGATTTTTTTTCAGTCATGAAATTTCGAGCGCGGCACGTCCCAATGTTCCTGTACTTATACCGGGCTTGTGCATCAGGCACGTTTCGTCATTCTACTGTCAATCCATGTGGAACATTGTATAGGGTTGTAAATTTAACCCTGTACAATTAATCCACCTACTTTACTAAGTGGCCAGCATAACAGTGCACGTTCAAAAATTGCAAGTAATGCAAAATTTCCATCTCCGACATGGTACAGGGTTAGGTTTTTCACCCTGTAGCATATATCAGTTTATATGTAAAAAGTGCGCGATTTCCTTATATTGAAAACTATGGTACAGGGTTAAAATTGTGCAAATTCGTAAAACGCGCCAA